AAAATAACATTCCGTGAGGTTGGAATTCTGTGGGGGAAGTGGAATGGAAATACAATTTCCAGAAAAAAAGAAACAATGTCAATGTGTAACCATTAAAGGGGGTGTTCATATATTTTCTTTATGCTTGTTCATTTTTTGAAAAGTGGATGACAGTGAGTGTTAAATTAGGAGGGCAATTCCATAAGATACATCTGAACAGTGAGTTATACAATAGCTTTATATTAAAATATTAATATTTATAGTATACCAGAAAATATATCCTTTGCAACTGTTCATAATTGTGATGATAAAGTCCAATGTCACATGTGTGCAAGGGACTGCATAGGCTTTTGAAATTCCTTCAGGAGATTGCTGAATGAAACGTTTGAAGACTGCTACCCTGGGACATGGCGTGATGGGACACTTTCTCTCGGGGGCTGTCTGGCTGGGGTGGTGGCCCTGAATTGACTTCACTGCCAGCTCCATCCCCAAATCACTGTGTGGACCCAGGACACAAACGAAGGCTGTAAGCCTCAGGGGGACAGACCCAGAATCCCCATCGTCGTGGAGTGGGGCTCATGGGGTGAGGACTCCGGTCAGCTCCTCTCCCATGGCATGAAGTGACTTCCTGCAGTCTGGGAGCTGGAAGGGGACAGGCCCCGAAGGAGAACCACAGTGCGGCTGAGGTACAGCACATGAGAGATGTTCTAGTCTTGCTATTCACTCACAGATCTGGGGTTCCTGTCTCTGGTCCTTCTCCCCCAGCCATCCTCAGGCCTGGGGCTCTGGCCTGCTGCCCTCAGGTATGAAGCCAAGATGGGCAGGTGACCTCAAGGAGGGAAGAGGAGGCAAGGGGACCCCAAGGCAGAAACACTGGACTGGTGGCCAGCGCGGGGGAGGGTGCACCTTCCCCAGAGCCACTAGTAAGTAGTCCTAGATAACCTTGCAACGGTCAGATTTTTCACCACGAGAATGCAAGCGCTAGAAGCACAGGAATCTGGTCTGTTCACTGACATACCTGGCACACAGTAAGTGCTTGGTAAATGTTTGTAGATTGACCAAATGCTTGGTGGAACCCCTGCCCCCTCATTCTACACAGAGAAAAACTAGGCCCAGAAAGGTGAAATGATTTGTCGAAGGCCTCACAGAGACTTAGGCCTAAGCCAGGACAAGAACCAAAGTCACCTGATGTTTCCTGGGCCTGGAGTCTCAAGGAGGTACAGCTCCCTGTTCTGGCCCCCAAGACTGCCCTGAGCCTTGCCTTGCCCCTCCCGGTCACTAACCCCTGGGCCCAGCCTCCTCGCCATCCCTGGGCCCCCGCGCACTCACAGGTGGCAGTCTGTGGGTCTCTGCTTCTCTCTCTTCCTCTTCCCCCTGCCCTTGGGTCTCCTCCTGCAATAAGCCAAAAGCGTCAGGACAAGGTGGCTGGGGGCCCCAATGCTAGGACAGGGGCTGGCAGGTCCAAGGACAGCCCCGAGCCCCAGCCGGGCCACTTACCTTTCTGGCTTCATCTTCTCCCGCAGAGGTCTGGGGAAATAGAGAGAGGGACACAGGAAAGTCAGGAAAGTAGTAAGTGGGAGCTCCCTGCCACCCCAACACCTCCCCTTAGCCGTCGGAGTCCTGGTCCTGCAGCTGGCGCTGAGGCCACTAGGGGGTAGCATGGAGCTGGCAGGGAGGGCAGCCGGAGGCCTCTGGGCTGGGCTCCGACTCTAGGCTCCAGTGACCCCACCAAGAGAGGGACGAATTCCCTCCTGGGGACCCTCACCACACCCTTGTGCACTCTTCAGCCTCTTGGCATCAAATGTGGGGTCTTCTCAGTCTGCTCTCTGTTGCTTCACTTTCTCTGTCCACTTCCCTCCCACCCAGGGTGCATTCTGGGAGTTTCCTCAAGGACAGTAAATGATGGCAAGGCCGTGGACTGGCTGCCTGTCAGGGCACACCCCAACCCCATCCTGGAACAGCAGGGAGGGGAGGGGAGGGGAGGGGAGGAGAGGGGAGCACGAGCCCCACAGTCACCAGGCATGTCCAGGCTTTGCCTCCCAGGGCTGTGGCTGTTGGCCCAGAAGTGAGAAGAAAGGTGTCCCTGTTGCCCGGCCCATTGGAAGGGGACAGGGCCTCAGTCTTCCTGGGAACAGGGGGTGGAGGCAGGGGGCAGCCTGGTTACGGTCAGCTTTGGGGCCAGGAAATGCTGCCCTAGGCTGGCTCCCAGCTTGGGAGCCAGGGCAGGGTACCAGGGCTGTCAGGGCTGTCTGGTTATACCTCTCCATATTGGGCAAGTCAGAGACACCCTTGGAACCTGTCTCCTCATCTGCCTGCCCCAAAAGAATAACTATCTGGGCAAAGGTGACATAGAAGGTGACTATGGGTCCCTGTCCAGCACTGTGTCCGCAGGGCTCATTTCTGAGTTATTGTTACGTGGCTAAGCTCTGGCTGGGAGGGACAGGTTGAGGCAGGGCCCCTGACACCAGCACATGGAGACGGCCTAGAGCCTGGGCTCAGGTCCAAAAGGGGCAGCCATATCCCTGCACACAAGGCAGAGCCACGCCCAGGGGCTATGAGAGAGCAAGGTCATGGCCGCAAGAGGTAGCCTGGAAAAGGGCAGACTTAGGAGTTAGGCCAGACCGCGAATGCTCCCACACTTACTAGCTGTGGCGAATCCCGAAACTATATCGAGCCTTGGCGTTCTCATCTATACCATGGGGATGACAGTAGTACCTACCCACTAGGGTTGTTATGAGAGTAGGGACCTTGTCTATCTTGCTCACCACTGTGTCCCAAGCGTCCAGGACAGTGTCTGGCATACAGTAGGTGCTCAATAAATGTATGTGAATAAATGAGAAAACACATTCAGGTGCCTACCGTGGGGCTAGGCATGGAGTAGGTGCACAGTAAGTGGCAATCCTCCCCCTGCCCTCCCCCTGCCCACCCCCAGACCTCTGGTCTGGTGCCTATGGCCTGGCGGTACCAGGAGCAGCATCTTGGCCTGATTCTCTTTCCCGAGCCGACTGGCAGTGCCAGACCCGCCGTTCCTGGTAACCAATGTTCCAAGTGCTCCGGGCACAGGCAGCAAGACCTGATCAGAGGCTCCGTGGGTTGGGGGAGAGAGGGGACGTGGGGGCGCTGCCACTTTAAGGAAAACGCAGTGCCTCCCTTCTTCTGCCTCTTTCCTCCTACCAGGGCTTTCCTTCCTTCTGCTTCTCAGCCCACCTGCCCCCTCCCATGGGCACGCAGCCTGCCCAAAACTAAGTCCAGACTTGCAACGTCTTTGCCTCCAGGCACCTCTTCCAGGGGCCCCCCATCTGTGGCAGTTGCTTCCCATCTTGGAGAAGGGGTACGATGTGCACTGAGCCCCTGCAAGTCTGAGAGGCACCCAGGTTTTCTCTTCCCCTGTGGCATCTCGACAGCTGTACTCCAGCTGCTGGGATAGCTCACCGGGCAAACCAGCTGATAGGGGTACCAAATGCCTGTCAGCCGCCCCTGGCGCCTGCCTTCCCTGGTATCCCTGGAAGAAAGTGCAGCCTGTGGTAGGGATGGGCAGCCTTCACCCCCACCCTGGGACCCGTCTTTGCTGAGGCTGCCAAGTGCATGGGGGCCCGTCCCTGCTACCCGCCCAGAGGACCTACCGGCACTCGCACTGCACATGCTGCGAGAATGTCAGCTCCACGTAGGACGGCCTGTCCCCAGAGCGGATCTTCAGGAGCTGAGGGAAGAAAAAGGTTGATGCCTGGATTAGGGGGTGGCCCCTGAGTTTCCAGCATCCAATCCACTCTCTCCTTGTGTGGAGATCCAGACTCTCTGCTTCCTACCAGCCTTTGGAATACAGGCCCTCATTCTGCTTTGGGCCTGGGGCAAGCAGCTCTCCTGCCTGCATGTGGACCAGAGGGAGGCCCCTGTCCCTCCCTACCCAGGGGGCAGCAATAGCGTAGGAAGGGGGCCCACGTTCTGGAGTCAGAGAGACCTGTGTTCAAATTTCAACTCTTTCACCTGCTGAACAAGTGAAATAACATCTCTGAACCTCAAGTTCCTCATCTGTGAAATGGGAAGGACACCCGCCTCGAAGGATTGAATTAGATAACATTTGTGGCAAGGCTAGGACAGTGCTTGGTATTATTCAGTAAGTGTTCAATAAACCCTTGCGTGCACGTGTGTGTGCGCATGCCTGAGTATATGCAAACAAAGCTCAGAGCTTGCTTAAGAAGGTACCTAGTATAAACAAGGACTTATTATTTATTTATTTTGAGATAGGGTCTTGCTCTGTCACCCAGACTAGAGTGCAGTGGCGTCATCATAGCTCACTGCAACCTCAAACTCTTGGGCTCAGGAGATCCTCCTGCCTCAGCCTCCCAAGTAGCTGGGACTACAGGCATATGCCACCACGTCGGCTAACTTTTCCATTTTTTGTACAGACGGGGTCTTGATCTTGCTCAGGCTGGTCTTGAATTCCGGACCTTAAGCAATCCTCCTGCCTCGGCCTCCCAGAGTGCTAGGATTACAAGTGCGAGCCACCGTGCCTGGTCAGGACTTCTTTAATATGAGCAGATTTCTTTTCCAACCTCACTTAGGTGTCCTGAGTCTTGGGATGGGGCTCAGTGAGAGGCTGAGAAAGCAGGTGGGGTGGAGGGCTGTGGGCTCAGAGCCGTGAGGGAAGGAGGGGCCCTGTGCTGGGTGCTGGAGTCTGGTTCCAGTTCTGGCACCTTGGCCTGTCTCCTACCTCTCTGGGTCCCTGCTAGTGGGCAGGCTCTGTGGCCCTCTGAGTGGGTACGGGCCATGAGGCAGGCAGGGACATGAGGATGAGAGCCTCCCTACCTGCATGGTGACATTGACTGTCTCCACCGGCACACAGTGCAGGTTCTCATCGCCACAGCAGCCGGTGCAGCGTAGCAGGGAGACGCAGGATGGGCTGAACATGTGTTCCACCTCGCTGGGGTACTCGGACACGATGTCCACCAGCCTCTCCAGCGCCCGGCAGTAGCTGCGGCCCCACACTTCCTGGAAGGGCACCACTGACAGGAGGCAAGAAGGCTGGGTCAGGCCAGCAGAGACCTGCTCTTTGAAGCCCCAGACCTGGCTCTCCAGGCCCCACGGGTCTTCCAGGCTCAGCCCACACCCCCTCCCTCAGGAAGCCCCCAGCCCTAAGGGGGCTCCCTCTGCTCTGAGCCCCTGATGTGGCCCCTCTAGGATGCCTGCCAGCCCCTTAGCTCATCTGCTGGACAGACATCCCTGTGGGATAGAATCTCGCGGTGTCCCAAGCTCTCTGCTCTATTCTCAACTCAGGCACCTGCATCTGCCTTGGTTCTGTGGTGCTCCGGGAAGGGTGCCCTGGCAGCTCCCCAGGCCCTCTGGAGCTTTCTCAGGCCTGACCCAGTGCTGCTTCTGTCTTGGGGAACTTGCAGAAAACAGTTGGTTCTGGAGTCCCGCAGGGAGGGTCGCCTTCCCTGAGTCCTCTGCTCAAACACCTTCCACGGCCCCCTCATTTCCTGCCCCACTCTATGCCAGCTCCTCTGCCTGGTGGCCAAGACCACATCCAGCCACGTGCGCCAGCCCTCCTCGTCACTTCATCCCACTAGCCCTTGCACAGAGCCAGCGCGGCAGCACGGCGACTCCTGGCTCTGGGCTCCAGCGCTTGGTGGTCCACGTGGCTGATGTTCTTTCCTCTCTTCATTTCTCTCCAAGTAAAGCTCACCCCCATCCTCACGGCCGCCTCCCCACCTCGTCAGCTATTCCACCATGCACAGATGTCCTCCCCGGAGCACAGCTTGGCCCCAAGGGCTTGCCTTATCTCGGTCACTGGGGACTCTTATCTCCTTTACAACCAAACTGAGGCTCTATGAGGACCGGCAGAAGACCCGTAAACACAGGCTGCATCATTCCCGATTGATTAGATGACTGAGGATTATCAGGGACATCCCTGACCCCCACGATGTCCCGGTGGTTGTGAATGGGATCTTCTGGGCGCTGATCTGAATCCCTCAAAAGATGCTGCTCCTTCAGGGACAGGCCTGGGAGGCCACGCCCCAAACAGAGGCTCACAGGGAGTGGCCAGGGCCGGGAGTCCTGGCCTCTAGTCCTGGCCCTACCTTGGCTGTGTGACCTTGGGGTGGTCACTTAATCTTTCTGGGAATATCAGTTTCCTCAGCTGGAGAGAAAGAAGGCTAGGAATAGATGGCTGCTGAGGTTTCTCCTACGCTCACAGACTGTCTGTGATTCAGCGCATGCAAGCCAGCCGGGCCCAGCCGGATCTGGGGCCATGCGCAGAAAAACATACCCGGGCCCAGGTCATCCTGCTCCACATCTGGTGGTCATCTCAGCTGGAGGGGGAAGACGGGGAGCCAGGTTGTGGGGGGCCCTGTAGCCTCTGCCATAGAGCAATGGCCTCTCCCAGCAACCCCTCACTTCTTTCCATGGCCCTGCCTCAGAGGCAGAAGGGGCCGAAGTCCATTCCACTGAGCGTATGAGGACATGAGCCTCAGGGTAATCTCAGAAGAAAAATAAACTTCAGTCGTAGCAGAGGCCCACGGGAAAGGCTGCGAGCTGGTGGAAAATACCCAAGAGGCAGTGTGTCCACGTGGAGCTGGTGGAGGCAGCACAGAGGCAATAAACTGTGCTTATCTGGGTGTCTGCTGCTCCTGCCTGCTCTGCTCGGGGGCACTGGGGCTGGGCTGGGGCTGGGAGGGGAACCAGAGGCCTCCCCTGACTCTACCTCTCTAGGCCACTGGATGCTCCCCCTGGACCCAAATGGGAAACAAGGCCTCTGTCCTCATGAACGGCCCTGAAGCCCAGGGGAAGCCAACGCCAGGTCAGAGAGCACCTCCCTATCGCCAACTCTTCGAGTTGTGTGTTTAGTCTAAAATCTTCATGAGCACTGCATGACTCTAAATGTTTAATCTCCACCTTGGAAACACAAATAACAGCAGAGGAATAGCCAGCTGCCAAAGTACCCACAAGGCTCAGGCTCTTGCCCTGGGACCAGCCATCAGGGAGGGGACAGCGGCAGAGAAGGGGAACCCCACCCCCCACAATCCCCCAGACAGACTCCCACCCAACTGGGCTGTCCGGGCCATGGCCGGCTCTAGCAGAGCTGCCTAAGCCCCACATCCCACCACACAGACTCCAGGGCCCTGAAACTCTAAAATCTGCCACTTTCCCGGCCCCTCAGCCAAACTGTGTTGGGAGAGGGCTCAGAAGGAGGTGGGCCAGGGCTTGGTTCACCTGGCAGCCACCAAGAAAGAGGGCAATTGATCCCTGGAGGCCCCAGGCTGGGTGTGAGGGAGAAACAAAGGGGGCGGGGTGAGGGGCCGGGCTGAGGGAGCACAGTGACCGCTCCCAGATGTGGCTGAGCCCCTCAGGAAAGAGCTCCGCTCAGCTGCTCCTGAGAGCACTTCCGCTGGCCCCAGACCTGCTCCGGGTGGGGGTGGGAGTGGGGCGGGAGGAATGGGAGGCTGAGGCCTAGTCAGGCACCGGGCCAGGGCTGCGCGGTTCCCCAGGGGCTGCTCCCGGGGCCGGCCCTGTGGGTGAGCCTCCCACCTGGCTAACTACCTCCCAGCTGCCACCCAGGACAGGGGAGACCCAAGAAAGAAACTGTTTAATCCCAAGAGCAAGCTTTTGCAGAGGCTGCTGAGGAGGGGCTACAGAGCTGGGCAGAGCCGCTGGCCACCAGCCCAAGCCCAGCAGGTGTCCTTTCCATGGTCACTGGCAGGGCACACAGCCAGCCTGCCACAAGGGACACCATGCTCATGCCTGTTCCGCCACTGAGCTGTTGGGAGCTCTCCGGTTCTGCCAGATATACTGAGGCGTTTCTGAGGCTTTAAGCGACCCCTTGGGCCTCTCTGGGCCTCAGGGTCTGCATCTATAAAATGTGAATCCTAATGCCTTCCTAGTTCACGGCCTGCGGTCAGGATGGAACTGTAGAAAATGCCCAGCCATGAACAGTAATAGTAAAAATCAATGTCCACAGCTGGCCATGCTCTGGTGTTAGCAGGAGTGGATGGCATGTTCAGATTCTCAGAACTGGGGTCCAAGTCAGCTTGTACTTCCCCTGGCACAGCACAGGCTCCCTGACTGATCAGGATGCCAGGTGAGCTGACCTAACGAATCTACGCTTGCAAGCCTCCTCACCCTGGACCCTGGACAATATATGCACCCTTGTCTTCTCCATGGAGTCAAAGAACAGATCCCTTAGGAAAGGAAGAACCCTTAGATACCGTGTAGTCTAATGCTCTCATTTCACACATGTGGAAACTGAGGTTCAGACATCTTTGGTAGCTGTTGCCCGAACTACACGAAAAGCACCAAAAAGGGCATGGTGTGGAGGTGGGGGACGGGTCCCTTCCCAAATCCCAGAGAGCACGATATTGTGCCAGAGGGCACAGGAAGGGGGTGGCAATGAAGTCAGGACAGCTACCTCCCCCACCTGCTCAGTGGCCAAGGGGCCTGGGCCTCAGGCATCAGAGCATGGCCAGGCCCGGGAAGGGCCGGGTGCCAGGCCGGCAGGCGGGTGGCCGGGCAGGCAGGCCAGCAGAGGGTGTTTCCAGACAGCTATCACGCGTGTGCATGTGCACGTCCCCACATGCTCCCTCTCCCACGGCGTGGTGGGAACCCTCAGCGGTGGTGTGTGGCCACTCTGCACGTCTGGGAGAGGCAGGGAGGGAGGAGTGAGGCAGGGGGCCTGGCACTGGCCTCCTGCCTTCTGCACGTATGTCTCTTTGGCAAATGTCTCGTTGCCCTTTGAAGATTCCCTCTTGATGTAACCCAGGGCGGGAGTGGAGGGGCCAGGGAGGGCGCGACTCATGGTCTGTCTGTTTGTAATCAATGGAAAGGCCTGGTCAGATCCCTGCAGCTCCACAGGGTTGGGCTGCTGGGGAGGGCCCCTTGCCCCTCCCTGATCCTCTTCACTGCCTGCCCACTACGTCCAGCTCCCAGACCCCCATTCTGGCCCCCAGCACTCACTGCCCAGCCTGCCCTCCAAGACCCTATCTGCACCCTTACATCGTGCTGGGAAAGGGCTCTGATTCAGCCGGGCAAACCCTGAGTATATTGGCCCCAGCGTCCTGCTCTCCGTATGCTAGGAGACCCTGGCCAGGAATACACTTCTCTCAGCCTCTGGGTCACAATGGGGGGATCTCTCAGGCTCTGCCAACTTCATCAGTCAGGATGTCTAGCTTGTAGACTCTCCCCAGCTTTTATCAGCGTGCACCCACACTTTGTACCAACCCCTTCCCATCCTCTGCGGAGGCCTGGGAGGAAAGAAGAGAGGAGTGAGCATGCATACCCCCAGCCTAGCCAGCTTACCTTCTGCCTCTGATGAGCTGTTCCCAGCAGACAAGGCCCACTGCTGTGGACAGAAAAGTGCAGAGATGAGGGGGGCACCTTGGGGCTCTGCACTCTGGGGCCAGGTGTGATGACAAGAGGGTAGAGGCCCTCTGAGCTCCTTCTCACTCGTGGCACACATTCTACCCTGTCACAGAGCAGCCTCTTTCCAGGTACATCTAAAAGCCCACTGGACCCTGGCTAGGTCCCACTCCTCTCTGGCCTCAGTTTCCTCATTCGGAAAAGTGGGGGAGGCTGGAAGCTTTTAGAGACCTTTGCGGGCTGTGTCCCAAAGATCTTGCAATCTTGTGGGTCCCCCTTCTACCCAGCCCCCAGGCCAGCCGTGCTGGGCCCTGCACAGCCCGCCTTGGCTGGGTGCCAGAGCCCAGGGGGAGGTGATCAGCTGGTGGGAGCTGAGGGGCTGGAGCTGGTGGCGCCATGAGCTGGTGCTGCCGGTAACATTACACCTCTGGCCAGCCCTGCAGCAGGCAGGCGGGTGGCTGGCCTGCTCGGTCTAGGGGGACTGCCCAGCCCACCCACTGTTGGGCTGGGGTTGGGGACTCCAGGGCAGCAGTGCAGTGCAGTGGGAAGGGAGCTCATTGGCTTTGTCAAGATTTTGCTGCCCAAGCTGGCTCCCAGCCAGACTCACCCGGCTCCTGGGAAAAGGGCCCTGCTCACTTCCCCAGGCCCTGCACTCAGGACCTCCAGCCACTCACCCAGGAGAGAGGGCACAGCGGGACCCCTCATCTCGCCCCCAGCCCACCCAGGAGCCCCCAGCTCAGCCCTGAGCCCCGATGGTGGCAGGGCCCAGCCTCCCTTCCATTAACCTCCTCAGCAGGCTTCCCCCGACCAGGCCAGGTCAGAGGTCCTGGGGACGCCTGGCTGGTCATGGGACCTCGACCCTGACCACAAGGCCAGGGTCCTGCCTGGGATTAGTGGACAGATGCTTTTAGCAAAGCCACTAGGCTCCAGGGGCCAGACAGGAAACCTCCCTCCTTCCCTGTGGCTTCCCTGCCCCCGCCAAGACAGTCCCCAGGACCTGAGGACAGCCCAGCCTGAGATCTCTTCCCAGACACTGCAGGTCCAGCCTTGCCCCTAGGAAGTGTGCGGACATCCTTGGAGTTGCTGCTCCCTGGAGTGGGTCTGTGATTTCTGAGCCCCCTGATTCCAGTGCTGGGATGGGAAGACCGGGGAGTCAGGCTGGGGGTGGGGGTAGTTCTTACCTGGGGGGGCACAGCAGGCAGCGCCAGCCCAGCCAGGAGCTGCAGGAAGCAAGTGAACAGCCTCATGGCAGGCATCTTCTCAGACATCCCGGGCCAGGGGGCTCCAATGGAAAACCACCATGCTCATCCCCCGGGGAAGCCCCTGGCACAGGAGGAGAAGAGCTGAGTGGGGCGTTGGATGCCCCCCTCACTGCTGCCCCGAGTCCCCGGCCGGTGGCTCGAGCATCTTCTGGAAGCCCTAGGCAGCCAGGAGCCCGCAGGTACGGCTGTGGCTGGGGAACCTGACGGGGCGCGACCGGCCGGGCGGGGCGGCGTGGGGGCGCTCGGAGCGTCCGTCGGCGCCCAGCGCGACCCCAGGTCCTCTCGTGGCGGGGCAGTAGCCGAAGATGCAGTTTCCTTCTCAGAAGCGGCTCCCTTCTGGGACCGAAGCTTGTCTGCGACTGGGTTTCAGGGGCCCGAGGCGGGGCGGGGCTGCAGGCCGGCCCCGCCCACCGCAGACGAGGTTCCAGACCCGCTTCCCGGGAGCGGCGAGCGGGTGGCCCGGGGCTGGCGGCCGCGCGGCGCGAGCGCGCGGGACCCCGCGGGGCGGCGACGGACGCTCCTGGAGCAGATCCCAACGCTCCGCCGGTGGCAGCCCCGCGACAGGGCTCTTCTGGGCCAGCCGCCTCGCGCCGGGGCATCCAGGTGTGGAGCCCAGCGTTTGCCATCAGGGCTCAAGACTTTGGCGGCCTCTGCAGGAACAGCAGCGCCGGATCCCTGGGAAGCAGCAACTTGGTCTGGCCCTTCACGGCCCCCTGTGCCATCCAGATACTCCTCTGGAGAGAAGGGATGACTAACCCCATTTTATAGATGAAGAAACAGAGCCTCCAAGAGTGCCCTTGCTGCATGTAGAGCACATATGCTCTTGGAAAGTGTGTGTAATATGCTTGCCTGTGTCCCTGTGTGTCCCAGCAACTGGCAGAGACAAAACCCAACCCAAGCCACATGACTCCAGCACCGTGTCTCCACCCCATACACCACCCTCCTCCCGGGGCGCTCAGACAGCAGGGCAGCCCAGCTGTGGGCTGCCCAGGGGAGACACCTTAGGCCACCTGGCTAGTGTCAGCACTACTTCCTCTGGGGGATGCAGTCCTCCCAGGACCACCCTTCGAGGCCAGCCCACCTCTCCCCGTGGGGTGGACAGTGGCCTAACCCAGGGGTTTCCTGCTGGTCCTAGACAGAGGAGGAACTGCTGCACCCTGACAAGGTCTTTGCATGTGTCTGTGCATGCGCGTGGGCATTTGTGCGTGGCTGCGAAGATACACATGTGCTATGCGTCTGAGTCTCTGTGTGTCCTGAGTGTCTGCGTGTGCCTATTGTATGTCCAAATATGACTCTGTGTGGGTCTAGTCTCTTGGTATCTCTGTACGCTTGTGTGATTATGTGCGTGTGTGTGTCTGCTGTGTCTCTGGGTATGTTTAGAAGTGTGTCTGAATGCGTATTTCAGTGGGATTGTGAGTTTGTGTGCCTGCCTGTCTCTGTGCATGTATCTATCTCTGTGTATGAAAATCTGGACAGGTTTCTATGCGTGACTGTGCCTACCTCTGGGCATTTGTGTGTGCCCTCCCTTGTCCTCGATCATTCTTAACCACCACCACCCTCACTGCCCTCTGTTCCCACCTCCCTGGCTGCAAGAACCTGGCAGGATTGGGAGTCACGAGTTGGCCGGGCCTGGGGCTGGGGGGTGGCTGTGGGGGAGGAGCAAGGCCTGGGAGGTGGCCCCTACAGCTCACATTCCAGCCAGGAGCAGGGAGGCCAGGGCAGCCCTGGCTCTCACCCCGGTGACCTCTGTGTCCGCTGCCTGCCTGCCCACCCACGAGGGGCTGCCAGAGAAGCTGCCTCCCTGCCTGGCCAGCTCTAAGTCCAGAGGTCCAGGAGCCTGGGGCCAGTCACCGGCCAGCTGAGCAGAGGCTGCAAAGAACGTTCTGATGAGCTCCAACATGCTAGGGCTCTTGGGGTAGACAGACTCCTTTCTGGGCCCTGGGTCATTGTGGAGGGTCGCGGTGCATGTGTACAAAGGTGAGTAGAGATGTGTGTTTGTAGAAATCTGTATCATATATGTTGCCCACAACATCTGTGTATACATAGTATGTGTTTATGTGTGTCTTTTTTTGGATTTGGATCTGGGTATGTGGACTTGGGTGTGTATTGTGCACAAGTGTGTGTGTATTTAAGAATCTGCACTGTATATGCTTGTCTGTAACTGGATGTTTCAAACACTTACACATAGGAGTGCATCTGTTGTGTACGTGTGTGCGTTTGTATTCATTCATTCCTTCTTTTGTTTGACACATATCGCTTGAGCCCTCCTATGCTCCAGGAACTGCTCCAGGTGCTGGGAATGTGATGTGGAGGGTCCCTCGAAGTTTACATTCATGGGGGGCTGGGGACACAGCTGGCTGAGGATGCCGAAGCTCTCTTTCTTCCCTCCTGAGTGAACTCCACACTTCGGGCAATTCTGCGATTCTCACGAGTGCACCTCAGTGTTTTGTCACTAAACTGGGGAACTTACCCTTCTAAGCCTGGCTTCCTGGTTGTGAGATGAATTAGCTAGGGTAGGCAAGGTGGTGGAGACCAAGAGGACTCCAAAATTTCCATGGATTGAACAGAGGTTCATTCTTGCTCACGCCCAGGCCAGGGCAGGTGTGCTGGCAGCTCTGCTCCCTGCACCGTGGCTCCATTTGTGACCACACGTAGCCTCAAGTGACTTCCTTTGCTTTCAGCGACCTGCTTCTGCATCTATAAAACAGGAATCATGATAGCACTTACGTCATATTACTGGCCTTCCTGGGTGCAAGAAATGGTAGCTGTTGGGCATGATTTCTAATTCAATTTTTCATTCGTGTTAGAGAAATAAAAATACTACAGTTATAGAGCAGAGTCCTTGACAGAATGGACACAAAACAGACAAAAAATAAAAAATTTTATACTCTGCCACTTGCAGAGGAACAAGAGGATGGAGAGGTTCATGTGTAGGTGTACACAAGCACTAATTCTCACAGTCACAATCCAGGCAATCAGTTCTCTACTGTCACTGGGGTAGTGACCTCAGAGTAGCTCCAGGTGCTGAGGGGACGGCAGAGTCAGTGCCCATATTCCACACAATTGTTTATCACCACAATCATTTATTGCTGTCTCTGGGAGAGAACTAGTATTTACTGAACACCTCTTATATGCCAAGCAGTGTGCCTGGTGGTTTAAATACCTCGACTCATTGAATTCTGACCACAACCTATGAAGGAAGTTTTAATCATTTCCATTTTGAAGATGGGGACGTGGAGGCCCAGGGAGTTTAATCTGCCAATAGTCATTTAGCTACTAAGAAAGGAACAGTGAGGGGGATTAAGTCTAGATCTTTCTCCAGTGAGCACGAGCTCTATCTCCCAACCAGACTGCAAGTACCCTGAAGGCAGGGCCAATATCTCCAAACTTTTCTGGATCTTTTGATTGCTGGAGCAGAGTGGGTGCTTGACAAACTCTGGACGGTTGACGTAGGAGAGGGAGAGGCCCTGCTCCTAGGGACTGACCTGTTGGCAGGGAGTCGGGCAAGTGCAGATAAACGCGAGGGGCTGGGCTGCAGAGACACTGTTGGGGCTGTGACAATACAGGGGACCCCGAGCGGCCCTGGCTGTCAGGCTGCAGGCCAGATGGCCATGCCAGCCCCGGCTCCCAAGGCCGCCCACAGACACAGGGCTTCCCACACCTGCTGTTAGTCCTGGTCTTAGCCCGAAACACCTGCCCTGACCCATCTCAATTTCTTGGCTTCAGTGTCCTCGCTCCCTTTCCCATTTTGGTCTAGCCTTTTCAAACGTTTCCCCAACTCAGCCTTTGCTTCTGTCTTGACAGCAATTCAGCATCTGCATCTGGAGAGGTGTCTCAAGTGGCCCTGGGTATGCACCCTCTCCTTCTGACCCTGTTCCTGGGCCCTGGACTTGGGTATAGTCAGAGGTGGCTGAGAAGTGGAATGTCCAAGGACTAAACTCTCCTTCTCCCTGGCTGGCAGAGAGAGCAACAATGGGCAGCTCCAGGCCAAAGGCCTTTTCGCTTCACAGGTCGAGCATGCGTCATAGCCACCAGCTACCCTGCGTCCCCAGCAATGAGATGCTTGATTGGCCGCCTCTGCCTTCTCCTCCTGCCTCCCAGGCTGGGATTTCCTGTAGACCCACCCCAGCCTTGACCCTGAGCTCTCCTCTCCAGGCACTTCTAGGCAGGATCCGATGGCTTCCCTGGCCCCACTGACACTGGGTAAGATGCCCCTCAGCCAGGCTCCGCTGGCATCCTCCCTCCTGGCACCTGGCCCTCAGTATCACAGTCGTCCGGTTGCTTATCTGTCTTGCCTCAGAGACTGTAAGATGTAAGAGGCAGGTATTGTGTCTCTTGTTGACCCTGTATCCTCAGCACCTTGCTCAGTGCCTGGTGCATAGTAGGGCTTAATTGATGTGTGTTGAGTTGGATCAGTCCTCAGAGTCTACTCTTTTCCCCACAGAGGAAATGTCCTAAGTCTGCCCATTCCTTACTCAAATGTCCTTAAGCTACTCAGAGGTACCCCTTCCTGGAACCCACACTCAAGATTTTTCAACTTGGGTGGGCCTCTCTGGTGAGGATGAGGGAGGGAGCAGGGGAGAGCCACCTTCTCTTACTGTGTAATCATGTGCTGGGCTGGTCACCACAGTCCCACCAGCCCCCAGGGAACAAGGCTCAAGTCTCAGGCTAGAGCCCAGAACCCAGTGGGAGGCCTAGGGTAGGGCCCAGTTGGAAGGGGGCCAGGACAAGAGCCCATGGGTGATCAAGTGGCTCCCAGGGGTGGGAAACAAGATGGCACCCACCACAAGGGCTGGGAACAAGAGAAGCCAGGAGAGGTGCCCACGGCCTTGTCCCAGGCCTCTGGGGCGACGTGTTGTCACCAAAGGAATGGAAACCTGTACTTTGGGAACTTGGCAGCCAGGGCTGGGTTTTTCGTGTTTTCTGTAATTATTTCCCTTTTGTTCTCCCTTAGTATTTAGTAAAGCCCTTTGTGAAAATGCCAGCTGGTCTCAGCTGTGCTAAGAGGAGTGACAAAAGGGACTCTGTGCATGCTCGGCCCTATGCTTTAATAGAGGGACCTAGCGTAGTGGTGGCAGCAAAGTCAAGGACCACCAAGGACATATGGAGGCTCTGGGGACCACAGCCAGCACCTCATGTCCAGACAGCCTCCTTGTCACTGAGTCTCTCCTTCCAGGCCCTTCCGGCCCCAGCCTTGACAGCCCTGGCTTTCCGGAAAACTGGGGGCTGGAGAGCCAGCCACGGCAGCTTTGAGGAGGGGTGTTTGTTTGGATCCCAGTGGTGTCGGTGTCCACAGCTCTTATGACATCCAGGGGCCGGGCACC